CGCGGGGGCAGCGGGACAGCCCAGATGCGCCGTGGCTGTCCTGCTGGCCTCGGGCTCTGCGGCTTTGCTCTGCTTTGCTCCCCGTTTCCCTGGTCTGCAGGGAGATGGGGAGCAAAGCCTTGGAGCACGCCTGCAGCGGGACAGCCCAGGCACGCCTGGGCTGCCCGAGCCCCTCCGCGGCTTTGCTCCACGTCTTCCTGGTCTGCAGACCAGGGAGACGCGGAGAAAGCCCCGGAGTACACGGGCGGCAAGACCACGAGGTCCCGCAGTCCGTGTCCTCCGGGGGAGCCCCGTTCGTAACTGCGGATCCGACATAAGTCGAATCCGCGTAAGTCGGGGACTGCCTGTACTAAAAATAATAATATTAAACAAGCGCGTATTTAGTTTACTTGCTTATTCCTATTCACCTTGCAGTCTCAGATTGACCCTGCTGCCCACCCTGGGCATAGACAAGAAATGCTGTCCCCAATGCCCTCTTCACCAAAAAGTAAGAGAGACCTGCCTCCATGCTCTGTCTTAACTAGGATACAGGAGAAGAATTCAGCCAGTCAAAACTCTTTATGTATGCAGGGAGAGTGAAATGAGAAGTGAACTGGAATCAGAGTGGTGGAATTAAGACAGTAGGGAAGGAGGAAGAAGGGTAGCGAGAGGGAACAGTATCAAGACATGCTCTCATGTCCTTACTACAGGGTCAAAGAGAGAGCAGCAGCACTCATGTGAAATAGACAACTGCTTGTTCCTGGTCAGTAGGCCATGGCATCAGCTTCATCAATATGCTGGCTGAACACTAGGACCTTTGGTGCCAACCATGGCTGAAGTCTTGCCAGCAGTGTCAGTACTTTACTAACGAGGTTCTTGATATGAGATACTCTGACTTGTGAAGGGCAATAAGTTGCTGCAGGCTAGTGCCTCTTGGTAGGATGTAACTTTTTTTTTTTTTAATTATAAAAACATGGCTGTCAGGAATAAAAACGGCGAGGAGTCCTGTGGCACCTTATTGACTAACTGAAGAGTTGGAACATAAGTTTTCGTGGGCAAAGACCCACGGCTACCCCTCTGATACTTGACACCATGCAAGGAATAAAAACATTATCCACCTTCAGCACCACACTGATCAACAACTGGTGTTGATTCTTGACAGCAAAATTGTAGCTAAGTCTGGACAGGGACCTTCCAGGTCTAGTACAGCTTTTAAGATAGGGGCCACTTTGGTCAGCTCAAAAGATTTATAATTGTAATAAGATATTCCACGTGGATGCAGACATCAGCACACTCATGCCCCTCCAAGCATCCCAGGTGTGAGGAGCCTCACATGTGCTCTCTACTACTTTAGGAGAGTTAATTAAAACTGACTTGCTAAAACTTTTTGTACCTCTGGTTCTTCCAGCTCCTTCTTTTGATCAGGCTGGTCTTCTCTAGCAGGTTCTCTATCTCCATAGAAACATAAGAGATCCAGAAGACTGTTCGATGTCTCCAGAGATAAGGTGGTACCTTCAAGCAGTGAGGAGGCAGAATTATGCTATACTGTTTATTCAACAGACTCGTGAAATGGGCTTCTCTATTGATACAGTATAAGCTTTTGGTAATGGCTCCTGTGTTCTGCTCCATCAAAAAAAGCTAATGAGGGCAAAGGACAACAGCAAACAACCTCGGCTTCATTCCAACAGGCTTTTAGTTAATGTAACGGAATCTTCTCCTCTCCAATTGTTAGGACAAGGCCATCTCAGCTCCCATCATCTCCTATTTTTTCTTTTAGCTTAGTGGGAAACCTGTGGCCCATTGGGATTCTACCTGTAGCCTGCGCACCCCTGTCTGCTCCCTCCTTCGCAAGCCTCTCATGCACTGGGTAGAGATGTCGCCCCCCCCACTTAAAAAAAGCCTCTCATGCACTGGGTAGAGATGTTAAATATTGGTTAACTGAATAGTCAATTAGCCTCATGAATTCTAATCAGTTAGTTGATTATTCTATAGTCCCTGGGGGTGGGGCTGGCAGCATGTGCACTCTAGCCCCACTCCCAGGGAACCTCCTGCCACTCTGCGCTGCTGCCTCTGTATGAGTGCCAGGTGGGAGCTGGTCTGTGAGAGTAGCCAATTTAAAAAGCAGCTCCCCTCACAGACTGACTGCCTGTTGCTCTGCACTGCAGCCTCTGATAAAGAGGCAGCAGTGCAGAGTGGCAGCAGCACCTGTCCGGGGCATGGTCTGAGCTCTTGGACCCAGCACGAGCTGGAACTGAGCCAGGCTGCCTGCCTGCCCAGCTCATAATACACTTTAAATGCAGAGCTGCAGCAGGGTATGTTCTGGACCTGGCACAAGCCAGGACTGAGTCAGGCTGTTGGCCAGCCTGCTAAAAAATTTACTAGGGGTGGGGGGCGAGAGGAAGAGAGAATGCATGTAGTCTACAGCATGAACCTATAAGCTTTTGCTTACTGGTTAATTGACTACACTAATACATCGCTAGCACTGGGGCCTGCACCTCCTACTTCTCCGCCTCTCTCCCAGCACTTTCAAAGCACCATGAATCTGCTGATTCCATTCTGTCCCTGCTCCTCTGCCTCCCTCCCAGAGCTTGAACACCGTGAACATCTGATTTGTGGTGTTCAAGCTCTGGCAGGAAAAGGAAGTAGCATGGACAGAGTGCAAATCAGCAGATTCATGGCACCCCGAAAGTGCTGGGAAGGAGATAGAAGAGTAGGAAGCACAGGGCTCCAGTGTCCCAGTGCACGAGAGATTTGGGGGAAGAGAGCAGAGAGGGAATGCACAGAACGCAGGTTGCCCACCCCTGGTTTCAATAATGCAGCCAACTGAGACTAGAGGGCCACTCATGTGATTCACTCACTAGTCTTGGTTGACCATTGCTGTTTTACTTCTTCACTCAAAAGGCCTGGAATTACAGGGCCTTTCCTGCTTCTTGACAGACATATGGCCCAGATTAACTAGAGTCGTACTGAAAGAATGACCCATTGATTAAGGCCATTCTTGATGCATGTAGCGTGTAGCTCTCATGGGTAATGGTAGAAACTACTTCAATTATATTTTGAAAAACTCTCTGATTTAGTTACTACTATAATAGAGACCAAGAAATACTCTTGAAGATGGATAATACACAGACATTTTTGGCTGCAGTCAATGCAAAATACTTCATCACTCAGGGTCAGATAGTGGTCTAAACTACACAACAGACCCTACAGCGGTGAGAATTCCAACTTCTTGAATTCTGTGGTCCTGTTTGTAAAAGAAAGCCTACAATCTTGGAATTTCCTCCCTCTTGACACACTTATCTCCCACTGCTGAGCTAGCTAAGTGTCTTACTCTCAATACTAAGAATGACTTGGTGAACAAGTGATGGCCCAATAAGATTTTAAGAATCAGTCCCCAAGAATTCAAGAATGTTCTGCAATTCTGTATTTTAACATTAAGCCAGCTTCACTCTATTTTTTGATCTCCGTACACATAAGCTGGCTGTCCAAATCCAGTACTGTAACTCAAGGTGGTACCTGTTTGCAGGAGCTGATCAAACATGTCCACAGAAGCTTTCACTTTTCTGAGCTGGATACGTTCTTTAAGGGCTGCCTCGCTCACTTCTTCAATCTGAGGTGCAAGATTCTCTGGCATCAAGCACTAAAATTAAAAAGCACATCAGCTGAATGGAGTTCTACTCCTGGGGGAATTCTGTGCCACTCTGCACATTCAGAATTCATGTCCCCCACAGAATTTTTTCTTCTCTGCAGAAAATACATTCTGCCAGAGAGGCACTGCAGTTATGCATTTTGTCCAGGGGCTGTTAGGGCACCAAAAGAGGGCTGCTGCTCTCAAGGACTTAGGGAGTCAGCTGTGAACAGGGAGGAAAAGAGGCTGAGTTCCTTACAGTGTCCTGCCCGTGGGGCTAAATGAGGAGGCATGAACTATGGAGGAGGGTGGATTGAAAAGGGCACATGGGACTGCTGGCACAGGAACTGAATGGAAGTGGGGGCGGGGGAGGGAGGGGTTCAGGGATATATGAGGAAGGGGGAGAGAGATGCAGGGCTACATGGAAACAAAGGGCAGATATACCTGACTGAATGGAAGAGGCTAGTGGTAAGTGAGGGTGTAGAAGGGAGATGCTCCCCAACAATCTCTGCCCCCCAAAAAACCTACTCAACACCCAACAACTCTCCAGGTTCCCTCCTAGGTTCCTTCCCTGAAATTACTTCCTTTTCCCTCAGTTCTTGTGTAACCCGACTCTCCCAAGCCTTTGCACTGCTTCCAAGGGGTACAGGAAATATATTTCTATATTTTGTAGCTTAAATGAATATTACTCAAAATTCTGTATTAATATGGCTAATATGGAATCTATTTGTCAAAAAGTATTTCCGGAATCTTTTTTGGTGCCTGTATTGTTACCAAGATACTTGCTCACAGCTATTTAGAAATACATTATGAAAATAATTGAAACCGGTGGGATTATGTTATTTTGACATATGCAGAATTTTTAAATACTGTGAACAGAATTGAATTTCTTGGTTCAGAATTCTTCCAAGAATATTGCTCAAATCATCTAATAGCCAGGACCCCAACTGAAATGTATTACCCATCCTAAAAGTCGTTATGGCTCCTCCAACATCCCTGCTCCCTCATAGGTAATAACAGCAGTAAATTTAGCTGGAATTACTTTCTGGGGATTAGGGACTACATTTCCTAAGATGCCAGTCATTTACAAGATGGGCCTTCAACACTAAAATCATTAAAATTAAAAACAAACTAGTGCTATAAAAATCCTAACTAAATCTATTCACTCCTTATTTCTGCCTGAAAAAACCATGACTAACTTTAACCACAAATGTTAACTGAGGTCTTAAGAGATGCTTCCCTTGGTAAACCCAAATTGAAATGTAGTTTATGTAAACAAGAGAACATTCAGTTATTGAGTGGTAAATCATAAGATCTTGCCATTTTTGGACTAATTTGGGGCCCAGTTCTGTAACCCTTATGCATACAATCCTACTGCTCATATTGCTACACAGCAAAACATAGCATGACTACAAGAGCAGAGAGTTTACCGGTATATGAGGCTCCGCAAAGTCCTTCTCAAAGAATTGAGGGAATTCATTAACCATGTATTTTGCAACATTTTTCCCAGACTCCTTGGATAACGAAAATAAACGCTGTATGGAAAGGAAAGAAGATACATTTGTTTGTTTCTTTACAATACCTAAAAGGTTGAGTGACAGATAGGGTGACCTTTTAGAACAATGACTTCGCTGAGGGATCAAGTCTCCCAGCATGAGACAAGAAAACACTCCCTTTGCTATTTCAGCTGCTAAACCCTTCCTCACACTCATATCTCACATTGATTACAGCAGCCTTCTACTCTCTGGCTTCACCTCCACAATCTTCACTCTCAAATCACATCACCCTTTGCCCTAATGTTTATATGGAATTCCAGGCAGATCAAATTCAAGCTCCTGGGATTCACTTTAAAGGACTCATTTAATTTTGCTTCCACCTATGTTCCTTCTACTTGCCTTCCCTTTTATGGCATTTCTTCCAATTCTGTCCCCAGTTCCTAGATTTTAGGTCTTATCGCTTGTTCTCCATTCTTTAGAAAAACCAGATGTTACTCTGGAAGAACTCTCTTTCAAAGATTCCTTCCTCTCAACACTGCTCTTTCCACACACTCTATTATACCGAGGCTATTCTGTGTAAGACAGTAAACTCCTAAAAGTTGGGACAATTAGTGGTTTATGTTCTATAGAGCAACACATAAAATAGATGTTTTAGCTCACATTTTCATCTCAAATTTTACTAAATTGCAAGTGGTACACAGTACTGTGTTGCAGGCTTCAGCTCTAAAGACTCAGTAACCAGTTCACATAAACATCATCTGTGCAAAGGCTTGTATTCCTCAAGGAAAGTCATGCATCAGCAAATAACCTGGTAGTGCAGGCCAATGGATAAGGCATTTGATTGAACAAACAGTAGAAGTTCTGAAAGCAGAAAGGGTGCAGGCAGCCAAGTGCTCAGAAGGGATGGCAGAAAGGAGTGGGTCTGAGCCTGAGACTGTCCAGAAAACCATTATAACAGGAAGCCAGAAGTAAATAAAGATTAATATTCTGAAGTGTTTAAAGAGTGATCAGAAGTTTTCTTTTCTTTTCATTTAAAAACATTTTGCCAATTGTCCCCCTAATGCCTGATGGCAGAGGTCCTCAAAGTTTCAAAATAGAATACTTACAAACTCAGAATAACTTCTTGGGAGAAGGTAGGGGTCATCTTGAAACATATAATGTGCAGCTGTAGGATCCTGCAGAAAGGAAAAGGCAGCATTTAAACTGTTATGCATTATGCAGACAGCTGTAGATATTTCTTATTTCATCTCTGAAATTAAAGGACTGTTGGCAGGACTAGTGCAACCATCTCTCTATACCGTTTTAATAAGGAATTTATTTGTGCAGCAAAAAACTTCACTCATTTGAAGTATAGCAATGTATTGGTTTGTGAATAAATGATCAAACAGTTCTTCAGAGGTACGTAATAGGCACACACACATTAATAATATAATGATTCCATTAGGATGGGGACCTAAATAATTAAGGTACTAAGGACATCCTGCAAAGTAGCAAGTGTCTCAGCTGCCACAGAAATGAATTGCACCTCTCAACATCTTGCGGGATTGGGGGATTAGTTTCCAGGAACCATCAAACACACACTAATTTTTTTTGCACTTTGTGTTCCTGTGACACATGGACTCTTGCTTTAGAGGATTTCTGTCCTTTACTCTATGATGCTTTTTAACAGACTCATTTGGCACTGTTGTTAGAATAAAAATCAAAGGCCTGATCTTCTGCTACCAAGCACCTTGCATAATGAATGTAAAAATCTACCAAATCAAACATCAGCATTTTAAATATGCTTTGGACTCATGCTGCACTGACGAGAATGGCTGCACAATGTGCATGGCAACTGAGAATTAGACTCTTATGGTCCAGAGTATATGCACATCTTCCCACTCTAACAGTTCAATGTTGGTCTGATACATTATCTTAACATAGTACTACACAGAGTAACAGCTATCGGACAGGTTATTCAAGACTCAAGGTGCTGAATGATGTGGCAATTGTGCTCACATGGCAACTAGGATCCTATTTCTCACTTATGATCCTGGCAGGTGTACAAAAGATCTCCACAATGCAAGTCTAGTATATTTTTAAAAAGCAGCACTACATAGTTTCATAAGATTAATTATAATCTAAGAAGGTACTTACCCGGTTCACTGTAGCTGCTAGTGTTTGAAGAACTGCTAGTTTATCCCTAAATTTAAAGAAACTTACATGAATCGTGTGTAACAGGCTTTCAACATCAATTCTTAATATATTAGCAATCTCAGAGGATCAGGATTTTAAGAAAAATCTCAGTGTCAAACATTGGTCCTTCTAATTTTTTCCATCCATGGGCAGAATAAATTTTGGATGTGTACCAGGGCATATGCAGCTAGTTGTGGACAGCTCTGGGCACTCTGCTAATCAGCTGGGTGGTACCTCAATCTTTCCTGGGCATCCGCCCGAGCGCTCAGCGTACGTTGAACACTGCTGTCAAATATACTGATGCTTTGAATATTATAATCCTATTTAAAATATATCATTTCTTCTTGGGACATGGAGAGAGGGAGGGGAATGAAAGACTGATGAAGTGTAACTGAACCACTTAATTTAACACACACACATATGTATTTATTTAACAAGTAGGAAACCATTGCTGCCAACACACTTAAAACTTTATAAAAATGGAGTCTGCATATGCATTTCATCCCCTATGCCATACTCACTATTTGGGAGAGTACTGAGGGGGAGAAAGGCAAGGGAGAGAATGTTATCAGTGAAACCCTCAAATCACAAAAAACAATTGTGCAGACTGAGGAATGGATGTAGTATCCTATGCTGTAACTCTTGGGCAAATTGAAAAAAATGTAGTTGACAGTGATGAGAACTACCCCTTTCCATTAAGCTCCCAGACTTCGCAAATTCAAAGATCCAAATTCAAATCCTTCATGGGTAGCAAGCTGTACAGCCATTCATTGGCAAGCAAACCCTCACTTCTAGATCTATAACTATTAAGATTCACTCTGCACTTGAGTCAGCTCCCCTCTATGGATCAACAAACAAAGGTGAAAATGGAGTGGGATACATCCAATATCACATCTTCAGCACATACTCCCCATAATAATCCATTAGCCAAGATTTCAGAAATACAAGCTTCCTCCTGGTTTTATTTTATCTACTCCAGTTATAATATTTTATCCATTTTATTTTATCCCCTCACAAGATCAGTAAGATGTGGTTGGCAAATAAATGTGATCTTTAAGTAACAAAAAAAAATGTACTGAAACAGAGGTTCTTTAAAGTGGCCTCTCAAAGAAAGGCTAAGGGTGGCTTACTGGAGACAGAGCCTTACATGCAGTTTTCCCACTGACTTTCTCCCTCACACCACAATACACAAAACTCAAATGTATTTACTGTTAGCATATACACAAAAGTGTAGAGGGCAGATGTCAGGAAAACTCCAAGGGCCCCAACAGGGAGGGAGAGACCTAGAGATGAGATTTTAACACTCACCAAGTTTTCTTTCTCGGAATAACAATTTCTTCGGTAACTTTAAGAAGAAATATTGATCATAATATTGTTAGAACAGATACATGAGACTGGCATTTCTGCAACTATAAACAAACTATTGACTAGTCTAAGCTACTAAATATAAAATATATAGCAGTTAAGATGGGAAATTCTGAACACGTAATTTTTAAGTTCCTCTTTCAGGTGCCTTGTTTAATTATGTAAGAGCACACATTTTGCAGAGCTGTAAAAATGAACTATATAATTAAGATACTGTACCTCCTGGGTCAGCGTCAGTCTTCTGAAGTGGTGCACTTCCTGAACAATACCTACAGAAACCAAATATGGAAGCATGCACTTTAATATGTATGCAGCCCCAGGAGTGATTAACCTTGTAACCAACAGAATTTTTATCGATTACAGAGTTTTGTTTTTTTCATTTTTTGCATCCCTAATTTGAAGAATTCTGTACTGCAAGCAACTAGACCATTAATGCAAGTCTCTGGCAATCCCACACAGCATTCCCAAACCCTGGAATTTTATCACAACCCAAGGGATACATAATTGTTTTTCTTAAAGCTCCAGCCCCTGAAATTAGTTGATCACAAGAGAACCTCTAGCTAAATTTCTTGACAAAAGGCTTGAAAACACAGACACTAACCGTTCAAAAAAAGGACAATAAATTCCTCCCACTCCACATTTTTCAATACTTGCACTGCCTGCACAAACACAAAGCTTTGCATTGGAAGCTGGAACTAGGCTGAATGCTTATACAGATCTCATCTGTTTCAAAGAGCTCTGAGGATGTAGACTGATTTCGAAGTGAGTGTACAGAACTGCTATGTACTATGCCAATGGTTCCCACCTGCTGGGTCACAGACTGGTGCCGGACTGTGAACTGTTGGCTATTAGGCCGCAGAACATTGCCAGGCCATGGCCCCATGGCTTGATGATAAGCTCAGTGGGGTTCCCTGTAAGCAGAGGCAGTATAAATGCTAATTGAGCTCAGGCTGCAGAGAGCTTCCTGGTTGGGGAGGGGCACTCCAGGAGTAGAAGTTCCTTGCTCGGGTCCAGATAAGAGTGTGCTAGTAAAGAATAAGGATGTTAAAATTAGATGAATCAACTAATCAAACAGTGGATGGAATTTTCATCGACTATTTGATTAATCAATAAGGGCAGTTCCACTTTGAAATGTAGCAAGAGCCTGCCAGTTGCTACATTTCAAAGCAGAAGTGCCTTGGGAAATTCTGCCTTTGAAATGTACATGAGCCCCAGCAGGGTCTCTTGCGCATTTCAAAGATGAGAATGTCATAGAGCATGGAGCCAGGGGGACTCTTGAGTCCCGCACAGGCCCCAGGCAGCAAGAGCCCCAGACAGGATTCTTGTACATTTCAGAGGTTCCTCAGCCAGGGCAGAGCCTTCCCCAGGCAGCTGAAGCCCAAGGAAAGGGAGGCAGACCCCCCGCAGCATAGGTGGGGGACGGGGAGAGAATCGCCTGCGCTCACAACCTGGACCCCAACGGGCAATTTAACTTCAACAGGGCCAGCGCCAAGAACCCCGGCCACTGAAGGGCACGCACATGGGAAAACCCGACAATGCGCACGCGCAATTCTCCTGGCGGATTGCGGAGAGCGCGCGCGTGAACGCCACAGGGCTAGAACACACCGCGAACGGCAACTACAATGCGCAGGCGCAGAGCTCTCTCTCTCTCGTGGCGCTGGCCTCGTCTCAGTGCCTGGCCCACTCCCGTTACCGGCTCTTTCAGGCCTGTACAAGCGGAGCTGCCCCTCAAGCCGCCCCCTGCTCCCACCTGCCGCTCGCCTCGCTGCGCAGCCGTAAGCCGTATCGGCCGCTCAACAGCACCGCTCGCTGCCAGGCGACCTGCCGCCACCACCGTCCCGCCATCTTGGCGGCCCGCCCGGGGCATGCCGGGAAAGGGAGGACGGTACCATTTGCCTGCGTGAGGCGGAAGGAAGCGGAGAGGGGGAGTGGTACCGGCCAGTGACGGTCCCTCCCCCTGAGCGCGTGTCGCACACGCTACTGGGGGCCGCGTGGCGCCCGTTGAGGGAGTCACCGGAGCGGGAAGAAGGAGGGAGCGGCTGGAGCGCTCGCCATGGGGCCGCCTAGAGAGATGCCGTGGCGGCGGCTGGCCGGTATCTCCTTCGGCATGTACACTGCTGAGGAAATCAGGTGAGGACCCGAGCCTGGAGAACCCCTCGGGAACTACTATTCCCAGCACGCCTTGCGCCGCCGAGCGGCCGGGGTCTCATGGACTCTTGGCGCATGGCATGCTGGGGCGTGTAGTCCTGTTGTGCTAGGCTCTCAGCAGAGTAGCGGGGGGGGGGACACCCCTCACCCCTCACCCCTGGCCTGCAGGGGCCAGGCCGGCGCCCCTCTGCCTGCACCGCTCCTGGGCCTGGCCTGTCGGGGGTGGAAGGAGGCTGTGGTGAAACGCAGCCCATGAGCCAGACGGGACTGGTTGGCCAGGGAGGTGCCATCCTGGGAAGGGAGGGGGAGAGGTGTCCTGTGCCGCGGAGCGGGGCGCATGCGGAGAGGAGAGCCCCAGTCTGTGGGGCGGGGGGAGGAGCTGGTCCTGCTTTCTTGAGGGATGGAGAAGAGGGCCTGGTGTGTGCCCCTAGGGGCAAGAGTACTTGAGTGGGAGGGAGCGCTGCTGACGTGCTACAGGGGAGCAGACCAGTGCTCCTTCTATTTTGTTCCATCAATGTGTGGAATACATTTTGTTACATGCACTGACAAATGGTGTGGATGTGCGCCACCAGTCGAAACACATATTTACGGCTGTGGGTGCTGTGCCAATCAGCTGGGTGGAATCTCCCCTGGGAGGCCACCCAAACGCTTAAGTTACAGGGAACTCTGCTCTGCCAACCCTGTGGTTGTTAAAGATGCTACTTTCAGTAGGTACAGGAGTATTTCCTTGTGTGCATTGTGATGAGCTTTTTTGGCATCCCTGCCATTGTTGGTGGTGCATTGTTTGCAGCATTTAAGGAAAAGCTAATGTCCTATCACTGGGTATACAGAGGAAATAAGTGAAACTGACTGTACACAAAGTGCTGGCAAATGCACAAAATAACCTGGCAGAAAGGGGCAAAGACTACTTTTTCCAGTTATAGTAATATTTGCTCTTACTTGTAACATCAAAGTATATATATATACAGTGTCAACAGTATCTGCCTTCATAAATGTAATTTCTGTGTTTTTCTTTGATCTTTAGGAAACTAAGTGTAAAAGCCATAACCAACCCTAATTACCTAGATAATGTGGGTAATCCAGCAGTAAATGGACTCTATGACTTATCTTTGGGACCTGCTGATGCCAAAGAAGTGTGTACTACTTGTATGCAGAACTTCAATAACTGCCCAGGACACCTAGGCCACATAGATCTGCCACTGACTGTCTATAATCCTCTATTTTTTGATGTATGTATATGCAGTTGAGAATTTGCTTATGATGTGGACTATTGTGTATCAGGACTAGTCTTCATTGGCTAGTAGTGTCTGCTGTCTTCAAGAGCTAGTGATCTTTGAAGAATATTAAACTAAGTGCAGTAAATAGTGATATGGGGAAATCCTCCTCTGGTGAAATGTCTTCCATCAAATGAACTTAACTTTAAACATATATTTACCATAATAGTCAAATGATTTTTCTCTCCCTTTCCCACTTGCTATTACCATGCCTTCATTTACAGTGAGGAAACACCTGTAATAAGACTGGCCAAACACTTTTTCTTCTTATAGAAGAAACTATAGTGAAATGAGGAGCCAAAGGCTATACCCTACTTTGTAGTAGCAATGTCTGCACCCATCCTTCTTGCTTAGTTGGAGGACAAGTAGACAAGATTAGTTTAGAACTAATGTATGGTGGAATGCAAAAGTGACAAGGAATCCTGTGGCACCTTATAGACTAACAGATGTATTGGAGCATAAGCTTTTGTGGGCAAAGACCCACTTAGTCAGATGCAACAGTGGGTCTTTGCCCATGAAAGCTTATGCTCTAATACATGTTAGTCTATAAAGTGCCACAGGACTCCTTGTCGCTTTTCTAGATCCAGGCTACCCCTCTGATATTATGGTGGAATGTTATTTCAGCATAAGCAGGACAAAGTTTCACTATAAGAGGAGTGAAAGTCCATTGAACTGTACTTCTACCAGTCAGACTTTTGCTCCGTTGCGCTGTAACAAATTCACTGCAAGCAGTGTGTTATGAATACATAATAGTTAAATAGTACTAGTTAGTGTAAGATCATTGTGTCTCAGTTAAACACAAATTGATGATAAAATAATATGAATGTAACAAATTAGTAATAACACTTCAGTTTAGCATATCATTTATACTGCTTATTATCCAAAGATCTCAAAGGGTTTTACAGACACTAAAGGCTTCTCTACATATGGAAATTTATTTAAATACTTATTGCAGAGTAAGAGCAACCACAGTAGAGCTGATACTAAATAAATTGTTCAGAATTCTAGAATAGCTGTTTAGCTAAATGCCCAAGCGAAGGAAAGTCCTAAGAGCTACAACTGGCAGTATGCGGAGCGCCTGAGGAGAAATGCTGAATACTTGCTACTCTTGTTGATTTCAATAGAGCTTGAGGACACTGTGCATGCCTGATCGTGGGAGGTGCTGTCTATGTCCAAAGTCTCACCTCTCTGTAACATGCTGCAGGTATTTCAGAATTAATGGGTGGCTGTTTCCCCCAAAATAACTTTGTAAATATAAAAGGTCTTCACTTGGAGCCTCGCTAGCTGTTCTGAAGCGGGATGCCACCTCTGGATGTCTCTTTTTCCTTGATCATGGTATAGAGTCTCAGAAACCATGGTGAGGGTTATGGAATATGAATGTGAATAGAAATAAAATGAAACAGTTCTGCTCCCCAAAATGTGGCGGGAGAAGCAGGCTTTTATGTGGAGACTTGGGGTGTCAAGGAAACACTTCACTGTTTGAAAACATTGGAAGCTAGAGACTTTTTCTGTTGTGGGCAGGTAGCTTCTGTCTTCCAAATAACACTGGCATTTTCCTTAAAAAGAGTCAACTTGCCTTCAGGTCTTCTGTTTTCCACATCATTAAATCTACCAAACTAATTTTTGTTTCCTTTTCAGAAACTATACCTTCTGATCCGAGGTTCTTGTTTAAACTGTCGCTTGCTGACATGCAGTCGAGCAGTGGTTCATTTATTACTTAGCCAACTGAAAGTCTTAGAGAAGGGGTTACTTCATGCAGTCTGTGATCTTGAGGCAATCCTGAATAGGGTAGGTATCCCCCATCTTTGAGCTGGCAGCAATGTAATGGCATGATAATGCTAATTTCATCTCTCTTTATTTCAGTTTGTGGATGCAAATACAGATGCCTCTGGTTTAGACATTGAAGAAGAATTAAATCATCATGTGAATGAAATGCTACAAAATAATGAATTTGGAGATCAGTGTTCACACGTGAGTAGAATAAGTGTTATTGCTTGGAATCTCAATCTTGCCATGCATGTACCTTTTTAAATGAGTGGGCTGGTATGGTATCTTCCAGATTTAACACCATCCCAAAAGAGTTTTGGTGTATGTTGTTTTGGGATTTGTTTGTGTGTGGAAGGAAATGATTTGATAGTTTTTTAGAGAATAATTATGTAAATGAAGCAGGTCCTTTTTAGGAAGCCACAGGAAAAATTACCTAGTACAGTAATTTACCAACAATGTTTATCTTTTTTGAGTTTACTTGTTCCGTACGACAGGAATGTTGTTATCATGAAGCTCTTAGGCATTCTTAGGACAACAGAAATCCTCAACATGAAAAATCTGAAGATTCTGAGGATTTACTGCTGCACTGCATATTTTTGTTTTCTATACCAATTTAAGCTTTAACTCAAAATTTGTAGCCTTGGGGATTGCAAGACCCACTAGTGTAGTCTTGGATTTAGAATCAGAGTGGAACTGAAGTCTCAGATTTAATTTCTTGTCCTGTTCACTAAACCAGCAGGTATCAGGAGCACTGTGAAGACAATACAAAGTCAGATGTTAGGCATTGTCTTCCATCAATCAGTGATCCCTCTGGCCAAAATATATCTTATCCAGTTATTCTTATCTAAAAGATTGCTAGCCACGTACAGAGGGGATTATAAAAATTGGGACTCTTTGGATCTTTGGAAAACTTCATTCAATCATAGCACATTAGGATAGGAAGAGACCTCAGGAGGCCGTCTAGTCCAGCCTCCCAGTCAAAGCAGAACCAAACCTAGTCATTCCACACAGGGCTTTGTCTAGCCTGGCCTTAAACCTCGAAGGATGAAGATTCCACCATTTTCCCAGGTAAAACATTCACCACCCTTCTAGTGAAATAGTTTTTCCTAATATCCAACCTAGACCTCCCCCCACTGATTCCTTCTGTCATCTGCCACCACTGAGAATAGCCTGACTACATCCTCGGCATTTCAAAGGGGCAGTGCCGCACAGCTAAGCTGGGAATCAGCTGTGCAGCACTGTGCGTGGAGCCCTGGATCAGCTGGGGAGTCCCCAACTGACCCTGGCTTTGCCTGGCATTTCAAAGCAGCAGTGCAGCTTGAAGCTCGGGGTCAGCGGAGAACTCTGAGTCCCCCGCTGACTCCGGGCTCCATGTTGCGTTGCAGCGTTGAAATGCACAAGAGCTCCTGCTGGGGACTCATGCATTTCAAAGCTGGCACCCGCGTGCAGTCCGGAGTCAGTGGGACTTCCCACTGGCCTTGGGCTGCATGCAGAGTTCTGTATTCCTCCTTTGAAATGTTCAGGGGCTCTTGTGCATTTCAAAGTGGCAGTGCGGCATGGAGGCCAGCAGGGGCTCTTGTACATTTCAAAGGAGGAATGCGGAAGTGCCTATCGAGTAGTCAATGGAAATTCCATCGACTGCTCAATTACTTAATTAACCGCTGGTTAACATCCTTAATTTGCACACTGTATGAGT